TGAATGGGAATATAGCTATTTACATAGCTCTGACTTTTGAACTAGGTAAAGAATTTACATACTCAAAAAAAATGATGTAAACAAACCCCCAACTGAATACAAACAGAAACTAATGAGCCTCACTGCATATCAAATTCATAACATGACTTTCAAAAGAAAAAAAAAATACAAGAAACTTTTGAACCCACTACCCTGTGCACCCTTAGGGAATTCATTCTAAGGTGGGGGGAGGGAGGGAGAAAGGGCTGCAAAGAAATCCCAAACCTTACTCAGTGGATTTGTTGTTGGCAGTGGCAGCAGCTTAAAAATTCTGAAACTATTGTCTGTGTATTTTAGTATAGAAGAAATTCGTAAATATATTGAAATTGTTGGGAATCAGAATTGTCGGAGGGCTGGCCCGTGGCTCACTTGGGAGAGTGTGGTGCTGACAACACCAAGTCAAGGGTTAAGATCTTTGAAAAAGAAGAAAGAAAGAATTCTTGGAGAAAAGCAAAAATAAATATGGAATGAAGTACAGATGAAGACCGTGGTACTGAATTTAAATCGGAGGTATCAGCATACTGGGAGCCCCTCTACATATAAAATTTCTTAGCTCTGTTCACTGAAAGGGCTTAGAAGCAAGACACCAGTAGCAGTGAGCACACCCTGTTCCTGGATCCAGAGTGAGAAATAAGATTCCCCGCTACAAGACACCAGGACTTGAGGAAATGGCTGATTCCAGGGCTGGGAAAAGGAAAGGAAAAGGTCAGCCTGGAGCATGTGTGCCAGAAAGCAAGGAACACTCAAAGAACCATGGGGGTATGGCACGAGGACACAGAGCTGTCTTCTCTCACTGGACACGATCTGGATAATTTAAGTATCGGGGAAAAAAAAAAGATGGTAAGGGATTACAACACATTGAATTTTTTTTAAAAAAAGAATCCATGAATCTATAGTAATATTCAAAAACTGAGGTAGAGGGAGGGAAAGGTCTTTACAGAAGAATGCCAGCCAATAAATATAAAAGGAGTGATGGAATTTTAAAATCAACATTTTCAACCCCCCAGTATAATTACAGATTCAGGCAAAAATTATCAGTTGATAATCCTGAAGGTACTAGGTGAAAGGTTGCTGGGGAACAGGACACTCACAGGGTCTCAAGAGTCACACCCTGCAAATTTCTAACTCATTCCACTGGGAACGGGTGCAAGGAGATTGCATGGTAGGGTGCGCGCTGCCCTGCCATGCAATCGAACCCGGCAGGGCCAGCAATGGGCATGCCCAGCACATGTGCCCCTGATGGATGCCAGGGAAACATCCATCTCCTGGGTAGTATTTGTGTGCAACGTGGTTCCCCTGAATCTAATCAGGAGGAAACAGATAAGCAGATTGTGGGATGGTCTACAAGGCCACTGGCCTGGGCTCTTCAAAAGAGTCCAATTTAAAATAGACAGTAAGCAAAAGGGAGGGACCATTCTAGATTAAAAGGAACTAAAAAAACATCACAACCAAATGCACTGTGTGAACTTTGATAGGATTCTGGACTTTTTTTTCTTAACAGCCATAAAAGGCATGTGGAAACAATTGGGGAAATTTGAATATGGACTGTACATTAGATGAATGGAATGTTCAATTTCTTAGCTATGCTAACATACCACGCTTATGTAGGAGAGTGCGCAGATATTTGCTGAAGTATTCAGAAGTGAGTTTCATGATATCCGTATCTTACTTCCAAATGTTTCAGAAAAAAAGACAAAAACAGCTACATAAGGAGAAAGAACACAAACAGGGCAGAACGCTAACAATCAAGGAAAGGGAACACAGATGTTTACTGAACTATTCCTTCAACTTTTTTGTAAATCTGAAAATTTTTCAAAAGAAGAGCTTGGGAAAAACAAATAGTTTTGATGCTTCAGGACATGCAAGAGAAGAGAAATCTTGAGCCCCTGCTGGCAGGGGTTTTGCAAATGCCTCACTTACGATGCCTGGAGAAGAGCAAGTGTGCTGCTCAGGGACTAGGCCCGCTATGCCCAGATGCAAGGGTGACCTTCCAGCGTGGGCAGCAGGCAGGGGGGTGGGGGCTGACGGTGCTGCCGTTTGACGGTAGCAAACTCTGACAAGGAGCCAGTTTTAAAGGGGAAAAGCTAGGTAAAACATGCAATTAAGACATCCCCATACTCCCCAAAGTGCCCAGGAGCCCTGGGTTACAAACCCCTGATGTTGAAGGAGGGCAGAGCTTAGGACACAGCACAGAGGAGTGAAAGGTAGATGGAAAGGAGGCTTGAGAAAAAGAGTGAAAGGACACAGCCACAGAAGTGGGATAAGCCTGGCAGAGGGGTCCAACAGTGCAAATGCCACCGTGGTGCAAACAAGATGACACTTGTTACCATGAGTGATGAAAAATTGGGTTTGTAAAGAATATAGATTTTGGGCCGGCCCAGTGGCGCACTGGATAGTGCTCCGCTTGAGAAGCGCGGCGGCGCTCCCGCCCGAGGGTTCGGATCCCACATACAGACCGGTTCCCGCTCACTGGCTGAGCGAGGCGCGGGAGCAATGCCGAGGGTTGCAGTCCCATTGCCGGTCCCCGGTCCGGTGCGGGGGCGACACTGAGGGTTGCGATCCGTTGCCGGACACGGAAAAAGACAAAAGACAAAAAAAAAAGAATATAGATTTTGCCGCTATCTACGTGACAGTGAAAAGCTGGGACGAACTGAAGGGATGAGAACGGAGAGTCAAGATGCACCAGAACGCTGTTCGGCCTCTCTTAGGTGCCGCCCCACACACCACCTGCCCTCCTAACTCGGAGCCCCCCTCGGCTGTCATTCCACCTGCTCGGACCTCCTGCCTCCAGCAGAGCCTGCCTGGATACCACGAAGAGCGCAGCCTGCTCGACTTCATTCTTCCTGCGTGCTTTTTCTTGTTTGGTGCTTTCTAGGGAGGAGCAGGTCTAAAGGATTTTTAACGTGCTCTTTCAAAGGAGTATGCAGGGGCTGTTTGGTGTCCAAGCAAGTCCAAACACCAAAAGGTAAGAGATCAAAGTCCCCAAAAGCAAGCCCAACCTAAACCTTCAACGTGAAAGAGATAACTCAGAAATAATCATCCTGAGTACGTTTATCATTCAGCAGAAGCCGATTACTCATGTAGATGTGAGGGCACAGCTAGGAGAAGGAAAAAATAGGAATCCAGTTGGCCATCTCAACAGGCACCATCAATTCATCAGAATGAGTTGGTCACCTGTCACCAGCTGGAGAAACCCAAACCAGCGTTGGTTCTGCTGGAATGGTAAAATGTCCCACGCAAAACTGACCAACTCAATCAGCATTTTTAGTCTTCTGTCCAATTGCTTGGAGTCCTATAGACCTGATCATAATGGCAGGAAATAAACTTCTCACGAGCTGGTCTCCTCCAGTTATAGAGTCTTGACCACGCTGCAACCGGAAAGCCGAGAACTTCATCATCTAACCCATTTGCAAAATTCATTGGCTTTAACAAACTGTTCCCCAAACACCTGGCCTGTGCGTTCTCCTCTCACCAGCATGTGCTATATCATATTCAGAAAGTGCTTATAGGCTCTCACTTGACTTGAAAATTGTCCATCAGCTGTCAGAAAAGCTAAAACCATCTTGGCTCTGGTGAAACGTTCACTTCAGGGAAACACACAAGCCAATTTGGTCAGACTTAATAAGTTTTAACAAAACCCAGGTGAAGGAATCTATCTGGGAAAACAGATGAATCTTACGAGCTGCTCCAAGAAATAATTCTCTCAGGAAAGGAAATAAGATGTGAAATCCTCCATACCATGGTAGAAGGCCATGTGAAATCAGACTTCTCCAACAGGGAACTTTCACATAAGCCCGATCTGAAAACAGTGGTTTCCAAATGTCTTGAGATTTGAGACCTTGCATCTCCTCCCATGCCTTATAACCCTCACACCATGTCCTGGAGGTAATCAAGTTTAAAATTCATTAACTCTTATGATCCCTCACTTCCCCCTTCCCAAAAACCACAGACAAGAACCAACTCATAGAACCAATTCTAAAAATATCCAGTCTGTGTTATGCTGAATGTGAGACGTGTGGGACACCATTCCTAAAGTTTAAGAGAAATTGTTCCTTATTCTGGTGGGATCTGCTCTATTTTATGTGCAGAGGTGCAAGGCCACATCTGCAGCACAGGAGAGTTCCATTTGACATGTGTGAGTTCTCAGTAACATATAGGCATGCTTTTTATAGAGCCCTGGTGTTCCCGAATTGGCTTTAGATTTGAAACTCTAAGCTTCAGTTATGTGTCTCTGCTAATAATAGGGCTCACCTTCCTAAGCCTGCAAGAGATGAGAGAGCTAAAAAGGAAATGGGTCCCACTATGGGAGAATCCAAGAGACAGTGCAAGGCTGTGTCTTGAACAAATCAACCAAGAGTACTACTCACCCACCTAAAATCTCTGCTGTGTTCCTCCCCATACCCCCAAGGGTCTTCTGTCCCCCAACACATAAGGTACACACATGGGACTCCACCAAGGCACACAAGCACTGGGGTTTACAGCCCACTCATGAGATGAAGATAGCTCCTTAAAGGGAAGTTCGTGGCTAAAATCCAACCCAATTATAAAATGACTCTAGAATAAGCTGATGGCTGAAGCTTTACAGAATCTAAAGATTTTTCTACAAAAATCCTACCAAACAGTTGTGAAAATAAACCAGTGCTCCTTCCTGGGTTTCCTCCAAGTACGCGACAACCCCAAAACCTGCTGTCTTGGGCCACTGTTTATCATAGGGACATCAGTCAACATCCAGGGGACAGATCCCTGAGGGGGAATGTTCTGTTCATGCTCCTTCGAAGACATGAAGATGGGCGAATGACAGGCAAATTCGGAGACAGCAAGTGTCGTTGCAACTTTCTGGGCAAGCAACTTAAGCACAGAAACAGTTAAGGTGGGATTTTAAGTAGGTCTTCATTCAAATGTGGGCAAAGTCTCTAATTCACAGAACCCACACCTCCCAAATAGAAATAACAAATCCCAAGCAAAGTTTGACACATATTTTTATGTACAATTGGGTCAACGGTACAGATGGAATTACTTTTTATAAATATTTGCAGTAAATTCCTTAAGAAAAACGTGAATAAAAACTCTCAGCACAAAGGGCCTATCCTTCCCCAAAAGAGCCTATTCTTAGCCAAACACTTGCAGGGCCTCTTGAGAAGAACAAGAGCACTTGGGGACCAAGGTGAGAGCCTTCCCATCTCCCCGGAGAACAGAGGTGACTTGAAGGTCATCTGTGGCCCAGGACCTGGGAGTGATTAAACTGTTTCTTCCCAAGACTTGAGTCTTCTTTGTCAAGCTGCTGATTAAGTGGTCTGTTTTCTGGCACTTGCCCAGAGGGAGGGAGGAAAGAGACCTACAATAGTGTAAGGAAGTAAAAAAAAAAAAAAAAAAAACTCTGGGTATTTTGATAAAAAACACTTGGTAATCAACATAACCCTGTAAAGCCGAGTTATCCAATTCACCAGAGGGAAAATCATAATTTAGCATTCGGTCATCTACAGAGACAAGCATTTCTTTAGGAAGATCATGATTTAGCACCACTTTCTCTCTCTCTGGTAATTTTTCCTTTTCCTCGGAGCCCTTGGTTGTGATCGATGCTGGCAGAGCACAGCTCAGCGGTGCTTTTAATCAGGAATACAGCTGGCCGTGAAGGGGAGCGCAGTCACATGCCACAGGACAAACAGCGTGCTCGCCCCAAAGGCAACTCTTCTGGGGTCGTCCCGATGTGGGGAACGCCAGCAGCCCCGCAGTCTCTTCCTGGCATTGCTATTTGGCTCTCCGGGCCCGAGGGCTTTACTCGAAGCGACGCAGGTGGTTGTATAGCGACTGGACGTAGGTGAAGACGCACATGGGGTCCGGCCTGCGTCCCATCACCATCATATCTTCCACTTCAATGAGGCGCTCACAGTTCGCCAGATTCCTGAAAACACAGAGGCCCCCATCAGAGCAATGGTCCCAGCAACCAGCCAGCCCACAGCCATCGTCATGACACAAGGACAGACCTCAGCCTGGAGCCAGAGGCTGACAGGTGTCCATCAGTGGGGAATTCAAATAACCCCTGGCTCAACCTGCTCTAATGCAGCATTTCCTGAACTCGCATAGCCATGAGCCACCTATATAAATCCATATTCTGATTTAAATAGACTTTATATTTTAAGTGAAATTTAAATTTAAAAATTAAATATATAGGGCCGGCCTGGTGGTGCACTGTAGTGCGCCACTTGGGAGCACGGTGGCGCTCCCGCCGAGGGTTCGGATCCCACATACAGACCGGTTCCCGCTCACTGGCTGAGCGAGGTGCGGGCACAGCACCGAGGGTTGCGATCCCGTTGCCGGTCCGGTACGGGAGCAACACTGAGGGTTGTGATCCGTTGCCGGACACGAAAAAAGACAAAAAGGAAAAAAAAAAAATTAAATATATAACAGTAGTATATGGAAAACCAGCATGACCTATAAACATAAATTAAAATAAAGCAAAAAATAGTGCCTGGCTAGCTCAGTTGATAGAGCATGAGACTCTTAAAATAAAGCAAAAAATAAATTCACCCATTCGCCTCCTAAAAGTGTTTTTAAACTTTTTCTTTAAAACCATGAAAGATATTTTCAGCATGATTCAGCACACACATACATGTATAAGGGATCTTCAAAAAGTTCAGGGGAGGGCTTGTATTATCTTTTTTTTTTTTAAGATGACCAGTAAGGGGATCTTAACCCTTGGCTTGGTGTTGTCAGCACCAGGCTCTCCCAAGTGAGCCAACCGGCCATCCCTATATGGGATCCGAACCCGTGGCCTTGGTGTTATCAGTACCACACTCTCCCAAGTGAGCCACAGGACGGCCCCTGTATTATCTTTTAATTCCATTTTTTCATGAACTTTTTGAAGCACCCTCGTGTGTGGAAATAAAGTTTCACAGAAATACTTACCCTTACTACTGCTGCTATTTTCTCTATAATATTTCATGTGTATTTCTTCCCCCGACCTCCCCATTTTTAAAAGCTGTTTATGAACCACTAAGTTGATTTTACAATCTACTAATGGGTCATAACTGGCAATTTAAATCTCATGCCCGGGGAAACACTGGCCTAACTTTGGGCCCTCTGGTATAGACTTGTATGTGAACTGTGGCCTGTCACTGGTTCTGGCAGGGCGGCTGAAGGCCTCATGGTGCAGGAAGATGAGTGTCCACAGTGACGACGTCGCACAGCACATCTCAGTACTGAGTCCCACAATAACAGCAGACGTCCTCTGCAGTGCCAAGCACTGCCCCCACACCCTCGGACTCTGCTCACAGTACGACTGGTTCCCCTGGGCACCAGATATATCTGGCCTGCCATTACCAGGCAGGACCTAAAGGGCAAAAACGACTGCACCTGTTCCAATGGTCAGTGCCGTTCCTGCAGCAGCTGCATGCACTACTGTATTCCAGTCTTTTCTTTTTATTTTTTCTTTTCCAAATCAATAAGTGCATGAGTGTCAGGGTTCAAATCCCAGCTCCATCTCTTATTAGCTATATGACTTTGGGCAACACACTTCATTTCTCCAGGCCTCAGTTTCCCTGCCTGGGATAACATCCACCTCACAGAGTGCTATGAGGATTAAGGAGCTAATCCATGCCAATCAGTTGGCACAGCATCTGGCACATCAAAAGAGCTCAATACACATCCGAGATTACTATTGCTGCAGTTTCTATGATCATGCCCCGCTTTCAGCAGCAGAGTGGATCACGAAGAAAAGAGGCCTGAATGTGAAACCTAATTAGTAGGGTTCAGGTCCTGACTCTGCCAATCACTTCACCTTTCTGTGCCCATTTCCTTGGCAGAAAATCAGAAAAACCTCTGTTCTCCCTCTCCATGGGCTTGTTGGGAGGTGGTGCTTCCACACGTGTCTTTATGCACCTTGTTCCCCAGCAAGCAGGCCAGGGCTCCTCTGACCCACCCCGAGCTTGGGAGCCTGTTCCGCAAGACTCACTCAGCACTTTCTACCAGGACGTGGAGCGGGGGCAGCTCCCTGGGCTGCTCACTCCAGAGACAAAGACTGTAACATGACCACTCGGCCTGCTCTGTGGTGCTGGCCAGATGCCAGGCCTCCTATCAGAAAGCAAATGTCAAGGCAAAATGGAGACATCTGTCCCGGATCCCATCCCTACCTCCCCCTCGTGTTTGGAGCCGGCACCATCTCTCCCCAGGACAGGCCAGGGCAGGGCTCGGTGCTGGGGAGGGTGACCCTCTGATGAGGGCAGGCATGCAAAAGTGCTTTGTCCACAGTAAAGGACTGAAAATCTGAGTTCTTCGGAGAGGCCAAGACCTGAGTTTGCCTTCTGGAGCTATCATTTAGCATCTAGTGCCCCCCTCCTCACCTGCCTCCCTCCCTCCTAGGCTTGCTTTTCAGAGGATCCCAAGTGTGTGTGCTCAGGTTATCACAGTGATAATGGTGGCCTTGGTGGTCCCCCATGTTAAATGATGACAGCATTGGAACACTAGGACCTCGGCCTTGGAAGAGACTGCAAACATCACCCCATCCAAACATCCCCCTAAAGGCCCTACCTCGGCGTGCTCACCCCAGGTCCAGGGAAAGGATACCTAACTTCCTCCAAGGACAGTTCAAACCGCTCTGCAGATGGCTCTGGCCATGAGAAAGTTTTTCCTTATGCTCTTTTCTCTCTTGGTCCTTTCTACCTATTGATCCCTTGAAGCTATTCTCAGTCTAATTCTTTTCCCCACAAAAGAGCCCTTCACATGTTGGAAGAGAACCTCCATATCCATGTCTTTCCCTGAAATTAAATATCTCTGGTTCCTTTTTTTTTTTTTAAAGATGACCAGTAAGATCTTTACCCTTGACTTGGTGTTGTCAGCACCACGCTCTCCCAAGTGAGCTAACCGGCCATCCCTATATTGGGATCTGAATCCATGGCCTTGGTGTTATCAGCACCACACTCTCCCGAGTGAGACGGGCCAGCCCTCTCTGGTTCCTTAACTGTCCCCACAAAGGGCACCTTGGACCTTGTCCTCTGAACTGGTTCTAGTTTCTCTCTAGCCCACTTCACAGGAGACACTCAGAATCACTGGCATTTTCCAGGCATTGTCCAACCGTGCAGAAGAGAGCAAGCCGACCCTCTTCCTCATTTCTAGAGGCTGCATTAAGTGCCCTCTGCCACCACCCAGACGGCAAGCCATGGGCAAGGTGCTGGCTTCCCCAGCAGACACTCACGAGAATGGGCCAGCTGGTTCCCACCCGCCCCACTGTTATTTTTAAGTGGAGCAGACAAGAGTGAGGGGACTCCTGAGGAGGGGGTGACAATATGCAACATGCAGCCACTGTCACCTGGCTCCCTCTTTTCTTTCCTGCTGTCACCTCTGACCCTCACCCACTTCTTCCTTTGGGGCACTCCAAATTCTCCCTCCCACAGGTAGAGCAGCATCCCTATCTTTGAGGCATGGCACAGCCCACATCAGACCATCAAGAACACTTGCCTTTCATCCTAGATTGTCCCTACAAAGAGAGCTTTCCCTGCAAAGAGAGCTTTTCCCTGCAAAGAGAGCTTTCCCTGCAGAAAGTTTTCCTTGCAAAGAGAGCTTTCCCTGCAAAGAGAGCTTTCCCTGCAGAAAGTTTTCCTTGCAAAGAGAGCTTTTCCCTGCAAAGAGAGCTTTTCACTGCAAAGAGAGCTTTTCCCTGCAAAGAGAGCTTTTCCCTGCAGAAAGTTTTCCTTGCAAAGAGAGCTTTCCCTGCAAAGAGAGCTTTTCCCTGCAAAGAGAGCTTTTCCCTGTAGAAAGTTTTCCTTGCAAAGAGAGCTTTCCCTGCAAAGAGAGCACTCTCCCTCAGACACTGGCGCCAGCTGCGATGTGCTGATTACTAGATTCCTAAAAGATGCAGACACAGGTTGAACAAAACTTGGGAGGAAAGAAATGAGAAAAGAAAAATGATAATCAGCATTGACTATCAAAATATTTGTCTCAAAATATCAGAGGCCTCAATTGCCTTTTAAATTTAAAAAAAGAAACAAAATGACTTTTGTAAAAATGATACAAGCTTGTTTTAAATAATTCAAACAACATGGAAAAGTCCAAAGAAGAAAACAGAGATCACTTCAAATGCCACTGCACAGCAAGAACAGGATTAGCAGGGCCTGCCACCATTTTTTAAATGCTTATGCTGCCCCTTCTTGTTGGGGTCTAGGGAAAAGGTTTAAAGGGTTTTCTCCTACTCTTATCTTTTGTGATCCCAGCTATCCCAGGGCTGGCCTGAAAGGGAGATGGAGGAAGGGTGCGGTGGGGTACAGGGTATTTTTATTCTTTTAAGCCTACTCTAAATGCAGACCAGGATGCCAGGGCTCGGGCTACTGCCTCCTGTCTAGTTTTAGACAGAGACACATGGACACTACAAATAGCCTGGAAGCCCCTCTGCTTAAGCGTAACCTGAGAGCAGGACACATTCCCCGCAGGGCAAGCGGGAAGCCTCAGGCCTCATGTCCTGTGCTCTGGCTCTGCTGAGAGGTGGGGAGGAAGAGTGCAGGAGGGTCAGGTGCCCGCCCGACTCGGCCCCTTCCATAAAAGGGTCTGGTCCTCCCTAGTTCCAGGCCCTGAACACCTGTCAGACAAGGGAAGCTCGCTATGCTGTCAACACCACATCACTCACACAGATTAGGCCACCAGGAATCTCTGAGACCGTAAACGATTGGGGGGAAGGGCAGCACACACCACTTTTACTGCAAAGTTCCCTGATATGTCTTTGTGCCTTTAAGGCACTTGCTCACAGAAGGGTCTGGAAACATTTCCTTGCTGATGCAAGGTGGATCCACTGTTGAGGACCTGTGTCCTCTCCCCTCACCCTATACTGCCTGCTCCTAAATTGCCCTTCTTAGTCTGTCCTCTGCCTGCACAGCTGGCTCGTGTGTCCATTCAACTTGTGTGGCAAATTTAAGGAATATCTGTTTAGGACATTGCTGTCCCATATCCTCAAGCAGCTGTCCCTATGATTTCTTTCCAGCTTTTCAAACCAACCTATTGTCCAAGAAACTAGGTGATCCAAGCTGCTGTCCTCCCAAGAGGCCCCGGGAGGCGAGCCATCTTCCCAGGCCTCTCCCCCTCATACCTGCGAGAGATAGAGATACTCGCAAGGGGAACTCACGAGGGAAGGCACTTCCAGGCTCTGAGCAAGCTCCCCACACAGCCCTCCCATCAGCAGAACTCATGTCCGTGGCCCCATCACACCATCCTCCCCTCCCCAGCAGGGAGCAGGCTCAGACCACAGGGAGGGAAGGCCAAGGTTTTTACCCTGCTGTTTGCTCTGGAGCAGAGGGAGGCAAAACCCAAACCAGCCTGCACTGCCACCCCCCCACCCCCCCAAGATGGGAATAGAAGAAACATCTGTTTGGAGTCTAGAGTCTCTGTGAACCCAAAACTCATGCTGGGAAAGCACAGCCTGGAATCACTCTGACTGCCAAAGGAAGCTGTGTTCCTTGCAGGCTGGGGTGCAGGGCCCCCACCCCATGGCCCAGGGCATCCCTCTCTCTGCCACAGCCCAGCTCGGTCTACAGCTGAGTGTGACCATGACGGACAGGGCAGGAGCTGGCACCACTTGGCCTAGTAAATTTAGACAGTGAAGAACACTAAGCTGAGTGTGGCATGCCCCCCACCCCAGGTTAGGGTGGGTCTTGGGGTGCCCACAGACCCCGACCCTGTGTACACGAAACCTGTCTGACTTTTGACAGTCGCCATTTCTGGGTTTCAAGCAGCTGGGCCTCCTCGTCGTGAGCCAGCCCCTCCCCAACATCATGTCACTGCCCTTGGCTCCACTTCACCCCGCCTGGATCCAGTTGCATAACACACCCCTCCAGAGCCGTTTCTGCAATTACGATGACAACTAATCCCAAGCAGCCAAGAAAGAGAAGGCTTTTAAAGTATACAAGGAGCTCTTATGACCCCAAGGGGCTGAGAGCCTAAGCCCGTCATCTGAGACAACACAACAGGGCTGATACTAATATTCCAAAAACTCAGGCCGAGGAGCTCAGAGCCAGAATCCCCATCCTTCCCCACCCCCACCCCGTGCAAGAGTTGCTGCCCCAGAGAGGTGAGACTTAACAATTCCAAGTGCAGGTTCTGAGACCCACTGGCCTGAATCCTTCCCTGGCCATGCTCAGGGCCCGGCATTGGGGCGCAGGTGACAGGTCTGGGGTGAGGCCTCCTTCAACCCAGCGAGCACATGAGGAGCACCTCCCAGACGTGGGCCCTGAGGACTCAGACAAGAAACAGACACTGCCAGTCACAGACAGATCTGAGGCTGACAACAGGAGGTACAAAGGTGGGGAGGGAGGGGCAGAATGATAAATGCACCCCCAGGAAACTCAGCTCTGGGGACAGCCTTCCTTCTGTCTGACCTTCAGAGAGCTCAGCCTTAGGCAGGCCTGACATTGCTCATCTGTGCCTGCTCTGTGCCCTGGGGCAGTGATGGACCACAGCAATGGCTCTGCGGCCCTCTGCCTTCTGATCAGCATAAGCCAACAGGGGTCCTGGTGTGAGGGCAGGAAGGGTACAAGGGCAGTGCTCATTCTGTGGCCCGCCCCCCGCCAGGTCACTGTGAGCTGGCTGCACCCACGTGCCCAAAGCGCAGCTCCTCCCCATGCAGCTATTCTCTCACTGCCAGTAACTCCAGGCCACGCTGGTACCAGCCCCGCACTGCTATTATCTGCCCTGAGGCTGCTGCACTATGCTCCTGCCCCTCAGTCCTGCCCATACCTTTGTAACGAGTCCCTTTATTAAACTCTCCTCAGTCAGGGTGAACACACACCTGCTGCCCACCACAGCCCTGACGGACAGAGCCTGCTTTGCCATCTCTCCCAACGCTCTGAGGGCTGCCCTCGGCTGATAACCAAATCTCAAGTAGCTTCCCAAGCGCCTCCTGATCCCAGAACTGCCCCGCCACCCCCAAGTCTTCTCCCTATGAGTGGGACTTAAGAAGGTAGGCAATTTCCTAGTAAATGATAAAACAATACATAGGGAAGCAAAATTTACTTTTTTAAATGTCCGAGATATTATGCAATTTCCTGCTGATCAGCAGCTGTGGCCTGTCCAAGCAACTGTGTCTCTCCACCAGCCCAGAGAGGACAGACTCAGTTCTCTGGGGGGACCCGGTCCCACTGCCCCTACACCCTGTCTGTTGTTGGTCTCCCAGACTGCACCCCAGAGGCTGGGCACCCAGCAAAGAGGGAGGCTGGGCAAATCCACCCCCCACCAGGCCTCAGTCTCCCCATCTGTACAAGAGGCAGACGGACCGGATGGCCTCAAGGTCCCTCAGCTCTTTGGATTGCTGCCCCATGTCCTGTTCACACCTGTGACCCGCCTGGGGCAGAAGTCGGGCCCAGGGTACATGCTAGGGCTGGTAGCCAGTGGGACCGCCCTGCTTACTCGGCCATGGTGAAGGCCAACTCGAAGTTCTTCTGCCGCTGCATGGGGCTCAGGGCATTGTAGTCGAAGGCGTCAGGGAAGAAGGAATGCACCAGGGCGCAGAAGGCCATCCCATCACTCCAACTGGAGGAGAAGTTCTGCAGGTCCACGTGCTGCAAGCAGAGCAAAGGGTCGGTGAGAGGAGAAGGGGGAAGGCCGGCTCCCACGGCAGCTCCCCCAACCCAACTCAATCCCCATGAGCGTGTTCTCCCAGCTCCTCCCCCAGATCCACCACCCACCCAGCTCAGCAACAAGACAGCACTCCCAGACCTCACCCCAAACACTGTGCTGGACTAGTCTGCTCAGGACTATACATGGGTTCCAAGAATTTCTAAGCACATGCTGCAGGCAGCTAGGTACCCACTTGGAAGGCACGATTTCTCTGGCTCCTACCCCTTCCCCCAGCCTTGGTGGGCTCTTGCCCTGGCCAGGAGAATGAAAGCAAGGGCTGAGGCTTGGTCAAGCCTCTGGCCAGGGTACCCAGTAGCCAGGGGGCAGGACTCTGGGGCTCACCTGGTAGCCCAGAGTCTTGCTGCGGCACCACTCGAGCAGGATCTGCTTGATGCTGCTGGCACTGGCCACGCCAAAGCTCTGCGACCGCTTCAGCTTGGCCCGGGCCTCGCCCTTTCCCCTGTGGAGAGAGGGCAAGCCTGCTGTGGGGGCTGCCCCTCCAGCTGCCATCTTCCACCTCGGTCTGGTGTGGGGGGCTGAGGGGATCACCCCCAGGGAAGGCGCCGTACCTGTTCTGCTCACCCAGGGGAGATGGTCGGTGCCCGACGGCCACCTCCACGCACAACCCCACATACCAGCTACTCAGCCTCCTCTGATCGGTTCTGGCAGGACCATCCTCCCCCGTCTAGCCCTCCAGGTCCCATGTTATTTCCCAGACCAAGAAGCAGGGGTCGCTTGGTAATCCTGAGACAGAGGACCTGAGCCCACACAGGCCTAGGCCACTGCACCCTGCTTGGAACACTTTCCCCCTTCCCTTCACCACACCCCTCCTCTGTCCTCTGAGCCCTCCCCTCGATGGAGGATCTCCCTCCCGCACAGCTCTTCCCCAGCCAGGAGGGACAGTTCCCTCCTCTGGACCCCAAGGACACTCGCTAATGGCCAAGATAAGGTTGTTAGAGGTCAGTGGAGACACCTCCTGGGCCTGTCTCCCTCACTAGAGTTGAGCAGAGACTGTCATCTTCATCATCTCACAAGGCCTGGGCCACACCCCGTACACAGCAGGCATCAATATCATGCACTGACAAGAGGACTGGCTAAATATTCAAAGGTGGCCATCGCCTCTACTAGGGCACGGCAGTGAGGGTGGGCACCTGTCTTCAGTCTTCAGGCACATCCAACCCCACAGCTGGGCCTGCCCACTCCAGCCAGGTGCCCCAACCCCAGTCATGCCCAGAAACTAAAGGAGTGACCACCCATGAGGAGGGGGGGGCGGTGGCTTGGCCATGGAGGAGAAGAGAGGGGCTCCCCACCCCACAGCCCTCTTCTCCCCACAACTGGGCACCCTGCCCCCCAACATACCCTGTGGCCCAGCCCTGACCTGTGCCGTGCCCAAGAGGCCTTGTCCTGAGGAACTGCCCCCTGGGGAACAGGACAGGGCTGGGCCTTGCTACGCTGTGCCCACCTGACCACATTCTGGGCCTGGGCCTACTCTGGGGCCCTGGCCTGGTCTGGGGCCAGCGTCCGTACTTGCCCGCCGTGTCCTGCTCCCACTTCTCAAACAGCGCCTTCCGGGCCTGCGCCTCCGACGTGCGGGGCAGCGTCTGTGACCTCACCAGCTCCCTGCGACGCTCCCCCTGGCGACGGGACTGAGTCGTGGCTGGCGGCTGCGGGGACGGGGGTGACTGAGGTGGCGTCACCAGCAGCGGGCTGAGGAGAGAACCACCGAATCAGGAACACCGGCCCAGCCATCACCTGCTCACCTGGGCCCTGGGGTGCCACCCCCACCCCCGCACTGAGTGTGAGTGAGGTGGACAGTCTGCATCCACGCTGCAGATGGCGCTACAGTGGCAGTCACAGAGGAAGCCCCACTTGCTCCCGTCCCCAACTGGTTTGGCAGGTTTTCTGAACCTAGCTACCCTCGGAAGCTGGCCCAACTTGAGAAGGAACAGGGCGCCCCCTCTCCGGGCATAGCCACCCCTTGGCAGGTGTCAATGCCTGGGGAGGGCGCAGACACCCTCCTTGGGCAAGAGGTGTACCCAGAACCAGCCCACCAGGACCAGGCCTCCTCTCCCTCCACCACTGCATAAGACCCCCTTTGTTCTCCCCTGGAACAGTTTGCCAGAAAGTCACAATTCTTTTATTATTAAAAGAAAAAAAAAAAAAGGCCAAGCCCTCCCCCACTGCCAGCTCCAGTCGCAGTGCAGCTGGCCTGGGAGAGCACCAGGACTACTGCAGGCCCAAGGAGGCCTGGACCGCAGGGAAGCCCCTGCTGACCTGCCCAGCCCAGGGGCCTCTCTGGGAATCTCCTCAGGCTGTGGTCAGGAAGTCCCCAGCTCTGAGGGACCCAGCCAGCTGGGATGGAGGAAGAGAAAGTGCAGGATAGGAGGATCCCTCCTCCTGTGGGACTGAGACACCCTCTCCAATCTTTTGACTGACTTGCTTTGAAGGGTCCACAGCCTCATTTCTCCAAACTAAATTCTCCACCAAGCCCCACTGCCTCAGTTCTCCTGCTCGTACTGTACCCACCAACCCTGCCGCCTCAGTTCTCCAGAGGCCCAGCTCAGGGGGGCCGCCTGCTCCTGGGGTCCACACAGAGAGGTCCCAGCATCTGAGGTAAAGCAGAGCCACCCCCAGGGAAGTGTCGCTCCCAGGGGAGTGACGCCCCCAACAGAAACACAGCCCTGACTCACCTGCTGGAGCACTTGCCTGCCGTCACTGCCCCGTAGCCAGAACTCGACACAGACCGTGTGAAAGAGGAACTCTTCTCTGCAGGACAAGGGAGGGAGAGAGGTGACAAACCCTGGCCTCAGGGAGGGCCACCCACAGCCTCCCTTCCTCTGATGGCCCTGCCCATTCACCCAGCATCATTCCACAGACAAGCAGCAGCCCCTGGGCTAAGATGGCCTTGCCTCAGCAAACGGATGAGGAGAAAGGATGGTTACACAGAGCAATGACATAAAAGAGGTCCTCTCAACTGTCCCCCACCTGCTCTTGAGAGCACAAAGCCCAGGGCCTCCAGCAAACACTGTTCCCAAATCCTACTCGCAGAAGCCCATACAGCTGCACCCCAGGACACACTACTGAGGCCTGACCACAGACCCAAGATAGGCCTGGGGGGCCCTGGGGGATGGGACTGTGCCGAATGTGCAGGGCAAGAGGCCACCTTCTAACCACAGCCCCCAACTGTGAAAAAAGCCACGGTCGTCCCCCATGGGGGATGATGCTATTTCCTGGCATCTCTGGAGAGGAGTCGAGCTAAGGAAAGGGGTCACAGTGACAGGCAGAGGTGGGGCCAGTGACTCTCCCATCAACTCCCCCAGCCCCTGCCCTCCCTCCCCCACCTCAGGTGGGGGTCTGCCCTCAGGTCCTGCTCTCCTGCTCATACCACTTGGACTGGGAGTCCAGGATGTGGTGGCTTCGCTGGGACTCGAACTGAGGCCCCCCAGCATGGCAGCAGATGTGGGTGACAGAGCTGCGGCTGAGGTCTCCCCAGAGAACCTCTCGGAGACACGGGTGACGGCCGTGACTGGCTGGTGGGGCAGCTGCAAGTTGAGGCTCACGGGGCGAGGCTTGGGGGGCTCTGGTGCCAGAAAGATTTGGGCAACCTCAGGAGGTCCATCGCCTGGACCTGGAACATGTGACAGCAGTGGTGTGGGGTCAGCTGTGGTAGCCACAGGGGCCTCAGACATCCCAGGAGGGTTCCAGCTTCCTTCAACCTTCCTTCCATCTCCTCCAGGAAGGCCTCCCTGACCACTCCAGCCTCCCTGACCTCCCCTTCTGGGGAGGTCTTGCTGCTCCAACCAGAGCTGATTCTTCTCCAACTTCCGCTCATAGCCAGCTCAATAAACACTAGTTGGCTTGTCAGTCCACTCTCTACCTGGTTCAGTGTCTGGACAATTCCTCAGCCCCTGCTTGCTTTCCTCCTGACACAGGGAAGCTCACTACCTTACGAGATCTCCCATTTCCCTCTGAGTTTAAAAAGTTCTACTTCACACTGAATGAGGCCACCTCCTGGCAAAACTACCCAGCCCCCCTCCCTGTCCTCAGGCTCTACCTGCCCCTGGCTGGTGCCCGTTCTCCATGATGGCCGGGTTTGAGGGCCTTCTCAGCTCCAGCTCGCTGGCTTCGTCGTGATCCACACTCTACAGAGACACAAACACCACTGAGGCCCTGTCAGCTAGGGCCAGTTGTCCACCCCCAAAATCACTTTCCAAAGCCCCTCCTGGCTCTGGCAGGGCAAACATCACTCATTTTGAGAGAAAATAGCCTCCGGGAGGTACAGTAATGAGCCAAAGTCACACAGCAAGCTGGGATGGAGCCACCCCAGCTGCTGAGCCCCTGAGACCCTTAGAGGCAAACTGGGCTCAGCCCAGAGCCCAAAAAAGTGGGGACACAGGTCAAGATTGAGGGTTCTGAAGGAGTCTGTCAGGCAGTCCCATCCCTTCCCCTAGGCTGGACCACGTGACAGGGTTGGGAGAGCCTGGGTCCCCACTCCTCCCACTGGGCCAGGCTGCCATGGTGCCTGGGAGGGAGCAGCAGGAAGCAGAGATGCAAGGTCCTTCTGGGCCTGTGATGGGCAGTGGGGCTCCGTCATGCTGAGGCCTTTTCACTGGATGCAGAGACAAAAGATTTACCTGGATGTGCAGAGTGCGGGGGCCTGACTGGCTCCAGGCCACCCCTCCAGCCCTCTCTGGCTGCAGCAGTGGGTGGGGAGGGTAGGGAGCAGACAGAAAGCCAAGACCAAGGGCCAGTGGGAAAGCCTGGGACCCTCGCTGTGCTGCCAACCCCCATGCAACCTGGGCCACGTCATGTCTCCTCTGGGTCTCAGTTTCCCTGTTTGAGTAATGGAGCAGGCTATGCAAATACCATTTGACATTTACCAAATGTCAAGCCCTTTTTCTGGGCATGCCACTTATACCAACTTGCTTCTGTCCTCCCGGGTGGGTGCTACCAGCCCCATTTTACAGACAGAACCCAAGGGCTAAGAGAGGGGACGTGTGCTGCCCACAGTCGTACAGAGAAAAACAGTGGGGATATGGACCAGGAGGGAAGCCTCACCCTTGGTCCTGCCCTCCTCCCACTGAGGGGGTGTGGGGGGCTCAGAGCATCTGTGGGGCTGATGGGATCTGCCTAGCAAAGAGAGACAGAGGCAGACCCCAACCAAGGGCTCTCCTAAGAGTCCATAATAGATGGCTTGAGAGGTTGGCAGTGCTTCCTGCTAGGTGCCTCCAGGCTGGCCCCCTGCTCTACAAGCTTCCCAGACAAATAACAACTCATCCCAGCCCCAGGCAGCTCAGCTCCTCTTGCAGCCCTGCAGCAGGTGCCCACCCTGCCATGGGGGAATCAGTCTGGCGGGGGAGGCAGGCTCATGAACCGACCGTGCTGAGCCAGCATGAGGATTCCTAAGACAGACTTCATCCAGCACAGCAGGGCAGGGAGGGCTCCCCAGAGGTACGGGTGCCTGAGCCAAGTCCAGAGTGAGCCAGGTGGATGAAGAGGGGAGGCCATTTTCAGCAGAGTAACTAGCAGAGAGACATCAAGGCACAGGCATGCTGATCACGCACAACTGGGCGCGGGTGGCTGGAGAAGCCCCGTGTGGCCCAAGCTGCCCCGAGTATTCGGACCTGACTCCTCAAACAAGAAGGAACCAGAGGTCATCAGCTCTGTGCTTCAGGAACGCCCTTCAGAAGCAGCAAGAGAGTGGCACAGAAGGACCAGATGGCAACCTGGGGGGTGCAGGGTGGGGACCTGGGGAGGGGAGAAGGGGCAGTGGGAGGGCCAAGGGAGGAGGACTCGGATCTTTTGGGAGAAAGGGATCTGGCGGGGCGAGCCAGCGGCGGTGGAGGACAGGAGGGCGCCAAGCCTCTTGGCGTGGGGCCTGGGTGACCGGGAAGGGAGGGGACGTGGTGGGTCAGGGGCAGGTTTGGGGGGAAACACGATGAGTGTAAAGGGGCCCCTGGCACATCAGGGGGTTGAGGAGGTAGCTGGATACTTGAGTCTGAAGTTTAACAGAAAGGAAGGACGAGCAACGGAGAAACAAGTCACAGCACCCAAGGCTCCCGGGAGCCCTGCGGAGCTAACAGGGCCAAGGGGGCCCGGCTGAGGCACCCACGTTTCAGAACACAGAGGAGGAGTCTGCGGAGGAGAACAAGAGGGAGCAGCCAGAGAGGCAGGAAAGAAGCCCGAGGAAGGGTGAGAAAGCCGGGAGGGAGTGCATCATCAGGCAGGAGAATCCAAAGGCGGCCTGGGGTCCAGGAAAAGAAGGTCAAGACAGGATCGGGACAATGTCCACTGGATTTAGCAAAAAGAGGTCAATGGTGATGGCTGTAGAAACTGGATCAGAGGCATGGGGAGTGGGGGCAGGAGACGGCCTAGGGGAAGTCAGAAATGAAGACAACACAGTAACTTTAGCCACGATGGGAGCTGGGGGGAGGGGTCTGAGGAGTCTTCCAGATCAAAGTGGTAGGGCCACATTGATAGGCTAAGAGAAAGGCTCCAGCAAGGTGAGGGGACCATCTGAGGGTGGGGTTCCTGCGGAGGTGAGAGAGGACAGGACCCAGAGCCTGGGGAGAGCCTGGCCTTGGAGTGCAGGTGACCCTCCACTTCTGACTCAGGAGGGTGGAGGAGGAGATAAGGCTGGAGAAAGGCATAGGGCATCTGCTGGCACTCCAGAGCAGGGAGGGCATCCCCAAAGCCACAGGGTAGCTGAGCTGAAGCCAAGTCAGTAGGGGGAGGAGATCCAGCCAGGCCAGCTGGAACCTCAGCCCCCCTGTCACCACAGCCCACTCAGCTCTAGGGTCTCCATGTCCCCCCACCCACCCTACTCTGGTCCAACAGGTTCCACAGGTCCAGGCAGGGGCCCGAAGGACGGGCTGATGGTGAAAGCATTCTCTCAGGAATGTGGGTCTCTATGGGGGGCCCCCCACAGACACCTGTTCCTGCATGTTGCAGGCCCCCTAACTGCCCCCCCATGATGCCCCAGGGGATCGGACACCACAACCAGATGGGAAATAGGTTCTGCACCAGCTAAAGGGTCTCCAGCAAAGGAGGGAGAGGGGTTGGGCTAACTCAGGCTGGGAGGCAACTACAACGGGGGCGTGTGGCTGCGCAGACTCCCATACTCCCTGCCCCTCATCCCCCAGTCCCAGACTAAGAATGCTCCTCACCTGGGGAAAGGGCACTGTCCATGCCACAGGCCAAGGAGCAAGGGGTTATTCTGAGACCACCTCTAACCCATCACCACACAGTTGGGGAAACCAAGCCTGGGGCAGGGAGAAGCATGCTCCTAAATTCACACTGAGGCTAAAGGCAGTGGCAGAGCTAAGGCGTTGTGCTTGGGTCTTCTGCCCCAACCTGGGGCCCTGTCCACAAAGTGATCTGGCCTTCCGGAGAGCAGAGAGGACACCTCAAGACAAACTTATCTCCCAGGACCTGGATCAGGGTGAGCCCTGGCCCCATCAGAGCTGGCTCAGCCAGATGAGGGGGAGGAAGAGGAGCAGAACTGTCACAGAACGCACAGTCCTGAAACCAAAGGGCCAAGCCAGGCTGGGCTGCAGCAAGCTGTTCTCCCAGGGCCCAAGCCCACCCATGGGGGACTCTGGCACGCTCCCCCAGTGGGCTACTATCTTCCTTTGGTGGGGGCAGCCTGCCTCAGCCACGGTGAAGGGAACCAGTATGTGCTGGGACCAGAGCAGAAATCATTGGAGAGCCCTGGAGCTGGGGACAGGTCCTGTTGAGCTGGCCGGACACCCCCAAGACTCCCCCTCCAGCTTTGTCTTAAGAAGGGGGAGGTTTCCCACGAGGCAGCCCAGGCCTGGGAACATTACGGGGAGAAGCCAGGGATGAGATAAGTCTGATTTCAGGGACTCCGGGAGACAAAACCCTCCTACTGGGAAGGTTTTTTAACATTTTGTGGGAGAGGGAATAACACCTCAGGCTTTCTCAGTGCTGCCTGAGCCATGCAGGCTCCTACGTGGACACGGGAGCCCATGTGTGTGTCCAGCACAGACCCCGCAGGCCAGAAACCCCTCCTAAAATGGTTAGCACTGCTGCCCCAGCCCTCCACTCACATCACAGTTTTAAAGGACTCAATTCAAACTTCTCTCTATGCATTTAACTCTCTTATCACACAGTGTGTCTGGGAAAGGAAGGCAGATAAGGCAAGTCTGGTTTCTTTCATGGTCGGACTCCGACACCAGGCTCCTGAGAGTTGTTCCTGAGGGACTCCACTGCCTCGGCCATGGGGCCACAGTGGCTCCAGCTTAGCCAAGGATGACGTGTTGGGGGAACGACTCTGGCCCAGCCTCCTGGGACCAGGACCTGGCCTCAGGCTGCTGCCATCTGCCCCAGGCTCCCAGCTGGTCCCTGGCTCCTGGCTCCCTGCTTTCTTCTCCAGGTCAGACAACAGCAGTGTCTCCCAGGACTTTGAACTTTTGTTAACCCCAATCCATCCCAGCCTGCTCAGCATTCAGGGCCCAACCAGGGCTAGACCAATTCCTCTTGGTTTTTTGGTTTATTTGTTTTTGTTTTTGTTTTTTGGTGACTGGAGGGTACGGGGATCCAAACCTTTGACCCTGGTGTTAGCAACACTGCCTTCCAGCCAATTGAGCTAACCGGCCAACTCCCTGCTCTTGGTTTAGATACAGGGAAACTGAGGTCCAGTTAGGTAGGAGGAAATGCCCCCAAGGGCTCACAGCAAATGTTCTAAAAGCATCTCCTGTCTGTTCCAGGGTCTCGGGCCTCCTGCAGGGAGTCTTCCCTGATTAATCCCACTGAGAAATGCCCTGTCCTGTTCTTCCTCACTGAATTGCCCTGACCATTCCTCTATGGTCCACGTCTTCCCATGCTGTAGCAAGGTCAAGGTTTGTGCACTCAGAAGCAGTCCCTTTCTGCACTGAGTTCAAGGCACATTTATATACCAGGGACAACCCACCTCCAACCCCTATAGTCCCCAGTTTGAAAAGGGTCTCTAAATCCCATTGTTTATTACAGAAGGGTGGTGTAACACCAGCCTCTGTAACGCCTGACCACAAACCAAGTAGTGCAGGCACCACTGGCTGTTGTGCATGGGATGAGACTCTCACCTCCAGCTCCCCTGCCACACAGTCAAGATGAGAGGCCCAACAACCAGCAGCCCAGCACCCGCTGTGACTCTCTGTCCATCATCCACACAGTCTTGCCCCAGAACCCTGATTCCTTGTCCACGGCCAAGCACCCCATCACATGCTGCTGGTCACAGCGTGCAAGCTGGAACATGCAGATGGCTGCATGCAACCCTCTCACTACCAGAAACTGCCTCAGAGCCTGTGTCAGTGCTCCTGGGAGGGTGGGCTGCAAGACAGCCCCAGTGCTTCTGGGGTCAGGCAGGGGGAAGCTGTCTCAGGCCCAGGAAGCCGGGGCCCAGGGGGCTGCAGAGCCTCTAACCCCACTGAATGGTGACCATCCTCCACCCAGAACGCTCAACTATACTTGCTGCCCATGCCCCTTGTGCCTTTCTGAAGTCCACAACCTACTCCCCAACTGGGTCTCCATCCTCATCCCCCAACAGGCTGCAGCAACCCTGCTGTCCCCCAACATCTTCTTCCAGAAGGGCTCCCCTCTCTGGATTTCCAAGAGTGAGCTCTCAGGTCCTGCTCACCCCCAGCAGCTCCTCGGCCTGGTTTTTGATTCCATGGGGCTCTTCTGCCTTGCACAGTGTTCTGGTACAATTGTTCTGAGGACCTCACCCACTCTGCGGCTTCAACTGCCAGCTCTGCCCAGGTAGCTCCCTAACATCCAGCCTTGACCTCTCCCTGGAGCACCAGATCCATGAATCCACCTGTTCTGGGACAGCTTCACCTGGATATCCCACAGCCCCCTCACGTTTAACATGACCCAAATGGAACCTGGCATCTCCACCCTGATCTGTGAACCAGTAGTCCCGCAAGGCAGGGCTCCCCTCTCTGCCTCTGTTCTCACATCCAAAGATGACCCCACCTGCTGACTGCTCCTTGGAAACTGCTGTCCACGGCAGTCCCATACACACACCACTGCCCCAGCTTAGACCTATCCTTTCTTCTTGGACCACCACAATTGTTACCCTTCTCCAGCCACCCTCCAACCCACCAACTATCCCTAAGAGAGCTTGCCAGATACAAGGAAGACCCCGTTCCTCCCCTCACCTACCACCCCCATAAGCAAGAAGACTAGCTTGGCCCAGGTGAATAATGGCCAATTCCCACAGAAAAAAGTCATGACTGGAGAGAATGTTCTATATGAATGTGTGTGTGTGTGTGTGTGTGTGTGTGTGTGTGTGTATATATATATATATATATATATATATACACACACACACACACACACACACACACACACACACATTCATATAGAACATTCTCTCCAGTCATGACTTTTTTCTGTGGGAATTGGCCATTATTCACCTGGGCCAAGCTAGTCTTCTTGCTTATGGGGGTGGTAGGTGAGGGGAGGAACGGGGTCTTCCTTGTATCTGGCAAGCTCTCTTAGGGATAGTTGGTGGGTTGGAGGGTGGCTGGAGAAGGGTAACAATTGTGGTGGTCCAAGAAGAAAGGATAGGTCTAAGCTGGGGCAGTGGTGTGTGTATGGGACTGCCGTGGACAGCAGTTTCCAAGGAGCAGTCAGCAGACATGTATATATGACTGAGATTTTTCTTAAAACTTGGACAGCTGCCTCCACAAACCGACAAGTAGCAAATGCATGTTAAAATAAAAGCTCAGAAACAACTGATGACACTTTATTAGGTACACATGAGCCCACAGTGGTGATTCTATGCCATGTGTAGAGTATCGTGTTCATAGGACAAACTTAAGTGTATCCATATGTCCAGACACTATACATGGAGTGCTGGGACTATGCCAGAGGGACAATACCCAAGTCCTTTCCCAGCGTCCGGGGTCCTTCACAACTCACCCCTCCACTCTCATACCTGGGGGCTCCATTGGTGGGCATTTCTAACCATTCTGAGGTTGCATGCACAGCCACCCACTCCACCTCCACCTGTGCCAGCCATAGCAAGCCCTGGGTCTCCAGCACAAAGCCTTCCTCAGATACCCACTGGGAAGGGTATTCGGAGCAGAACATCTCTGGTTGGCTGCAATGTTGGTACTACTCAGTCTAGGGCCATCACCCACTCAGGCTGGGACCTCCAAGGGCAAGGCCTAATCTGATCCCCTCCTCCTGGCCTCCTGAGTGGCAGCCCAGCCCACAGCAGGACATCTGGTGCCTGATGGTTTGAACCCAGGAGGGGCAGCAGGTGCAGACTACTCAGACCCAGCCCCTGGAAACCCAACCCCAGAGCACACGCCTGGTCAGGATAGAAAATCCCATCTAAGGGCCACTGCACACACCATGGAAACATTCTAACTGGGAACTGACACTCCGGGAGGCCCATGCTCATGGTAGTGACTGGTCTACACGGGCCTCCGCCCCACCGCCACATGGTGTGGGCCTCTGGCCAGTCACTGACCCCAGGAATCCAGACACGGCTCAAGGCCGGTTTCTCCCTCTCTCTCTTCACTGTAAGGGATTTGCCCCCCGCAAAGCAGGGTTCCCAGACGCGGCTGAGTCCCGACCAGATAGCGTCTCTCCTCCCCGCCCCCCTCACCCAGGGGCTTGAGTTCTCAATCTGGGTTAATCTATAACCTCAGTCGTCAGGCCTCAGTGAAGCAGCAACGCGGGGGGCGCGTTAATGGAGGTGAGGGGATCAGGTGGAGGATACCGACCATTCCTACACGCCCGGAGAGGCCCCAGGCAGTGCCAAATGGTCAGGGGGCGTACCTCAGCGCCCAAGCCCTCATTGTCATGGGACAGAGTGGAGAGGCAGGCAGAACACAGGCATACAGGGCCCGGCTCCAAAGACGGGAGGAGGCCCGAGACAGGTGCAGTGGGCAAGCAAGGCAGTGCTTCTCCTGCCCTCTCCAACTCCGGAGTGGTGGCAGGACCCCCATCACCAAGTC